GACCTTGTTTTAATACATGACACATCGCCTCACCAGGGTGAACCCATACCTCAAGTATGAAGTTCCCAGTGACTAGTAGTGTAGGAGATAGAGCCGGACAAGATAGCGGAAGGATGGACGGAAGGATGGAAGGACGGAAGGACAGGACGCAAAACTATAGTCCCCCCCCCCCGGTTCCCGGTAGGGGACTAATAAACCAATCACTGACTATCCTTGATAAGTTTAAACATAATAAAAGAAAATATCTTTCTAGATGAAACTGTATCTAGCTTAGGGCCTTGAAAACAGGAAAATATCACTGTTACAATACTGGTGAAATCAAATAAATGTTTAATCTGTCTGCATTGATTTCAATTGTCAGCATATACATTGGGGATATAAATCAGCCTCTAATACAATCAGAAACCTGTCAGGTTGCCCCTTTCCCCACTAGAGTGCAATAGACTGCAGTACACCGCAACTTAAGTATTGCATTGCAGTACATGTCCACCCCTGACCCCAGACAGTATCTTACCAGTGAAGGTAAACACATGCAATAATCGAAATTGTGAGTTACATTACATCTTTAAGTCATCACTTACATTGATGTTTTAATTGACAGACACTATTTCTCAATTATACCATTATAATAGGCATTTGTGTGTATGATAAATATTATTACATGATATACTTCTCAGATAGTGATTGGATAAGCACACAGGGATCAGGACACCTGCACGGTCCCCATCTAGTTACTTTTGTACCCTGGGTTGATGTAGCTCTTGTCAGGCAGTTTGACACAGGTTGCTTCCCTATGTGACAAATATGTGACCAGGATGTAAATCATTTGGCAAGATGTATGATGATCTACACTAATTACTGTTCTGTTGAGGACACTGATGATGGTCTCATTATTCAGACCTCAGATTAATGAGTACACTAAAAGTAAAGGTTTTTGAAAAGAGACTAACTAAATTTCCTGTATGCAAGACTGAACAACAGTCACATAAGGTTCAAAGTTCTAAGCTTTAAGGCTATATCCTCAATGGGAAGACTCGCATCCAAAGTAGTTTGAACATGTGCAAAGGGGTGTGGCTTAAATTGTTCAAAGTAATATGAACATGTTTTTGCAGGATAGGAAATTTCTCTATTAGGAAGATGTGACCTAGCATGACTTTTCTAAAAAGAAAAAGAAAAAAGAAAAATAAGTTTTAAACAAAATTAAATTTAAAGTATCTAATGATTCTTCTTTTTGCTTTATATCCTCTTGTTGATCACACACTTAACACCAAATTACATTACAACATACAGTTGTATCTATAACTAAATTTCCACCATGGAATTTTACTGTAGCGGAGTTCTAACATTCAAGCCTTTGGTAGGGCAGTTGTCCAGCTATCTTAGGCAATAAGCCAGTTTGGTAACCATGCAGGTTTGTAGTTCCAGCTGTTGATCTTAAAGACGTATTTCCATGTTCTTACATCAGTGAATAATTAGTTATGCGGGCAAATAAACTGAACATCACAAACCAGTGGAATATATAACAATCACACAAAACCAGACAAAAAGAAGAAAAAGAATGGTACTGGAATCAAAATAATTTTTATGAAATAAACAAATTGATCCACCTGGCTGGATAAAAGTTTCATCAAATGTAAATATTAATCCAGATTTCCCAGATGGTCGATGGGCTGGTAACGTATTACACGGGCCGCAATATGCATAGCGCTTGTCAATACCAGATACTGTAGAAATGCATGTGACAATCATGTGATCCGTTCAGCTGACATCCACGAAACAAAATCAATATTGTGTATTGAATGCCGTACAAAGTTCATAACAACTCAAATAATAAACGAGCGATGTGTGTCTACATGTCCAGATCTGAGGCAGAGGATTCCACCTGCTATTGAAATAGATACTGTAATATGTAGCCCGTGCTATTGAAATAGATACTGTAATATGTAGCCCGGGTTTATTCTATCAGTTATTCAACTGCAGATTAATAACATGCTCTCCAAGGCCAACAAACAACAGTAGAACGGTTAGCTGAGATTTCCCTGTCGTACAGTGGTATCTGTTTCAATCACACAACAGTTATCAAATGGGATCACGAAAATGTTCCCCAGAGATATCTACAGACTGTTTCCAGAGGCAGAAGCACTCGATTACTGTTATTAGGTCTTCAAATCCAAACCAAACCTACTTTATACAGTATGATATAGGCTACTAAAATGCTTCAAGTCCGGTCTAAAACACACTTTATCTACGTTTGATATAGACTTAAACATCCAAATCCTGCAGGGACTTTGTATAATTTGGGCCTTTTAGCCCAAAATTTGTCAAATTTCAAATTGGAACTTTTAAATGTGATTTTTGTAACTTTGAATACTTTGGAACAAACATTGTATTTCTCCTCGAGAAACATTACCAGTGCTTTCACATTCTCATTTGGAATTTAGTTGGTCAATCATGTGCTATAAACTTCTAAAGAGAAAAAATTAACTAATTAACGCAAATTTGAATTTGTAACCACGGCAACTATAATTAAACAAGCCAATAAATCTTTTCTTAATGGTATTGGGGAAGTATTCGAAACTTAAGAAACAGTCATTTGAAAGCTCAATTAACGGTTTTGAATTTTGATGGATTTTGGGGCCAAACCCATACATAGTACGCCAATATATATATTTCATCCAGTATGATATAGACTATTAACAGGCTTCCGTCACAGCTGTGCTAATAGAGGGTGTCAGGTTGATAAGGGGTAGGATATGGAAATATTTTTATAACAAGAGGTCCTTTGACCCTGTATAGCTCACCTGGTTTTATATTTAAGTCATTACAACTGAATGCATTAGTACATCTTTATATGAAATTTCCTCAAAACCAGACAAGATCTATGTTCTAACCCAACTGGTACCACAATATCTGACTTTCAACTACTCAGGGGCCTCCATTGAGTTGCCATGTTAACAGATTTTGAAATAAGTAATATGTCATATTACAGGGTGTAATTAGACAATACTTTAATTTTCATTCAACTATAAGCTTTTATAAACCTAATAACCAATTTTCAACAATTTATGAAAACTACACTATAGACTATGATAATCTAGCTGTACCATTTCTTATGACCGCAGGGGTCAAATCAGCCTCATTCAATTAAGAAATGTTTGTTCTTCGTCAATAATGATTTTGACCAAATTTTGTACAATCCACTCAGGCAATTATAGGGGGTATTAGCGTCTTAAAGCGAAATATTAGATATTTTTCCTCTTTGGGACCCGGCCTTCCTAGTCCCAGGGGTGGAACTAGTCTCATTTATTTAGGAAACGATTGCCTTCCCCCGATGAAGTTTCAGTGCAAATTTGGTTAAAATTGTCTGGTTTTTAGGAGGAGATGCATTTTAAAGCAAAATTTTAGCTAAGTTCCCCATCAGGGCCTCGCCACCTTGGCCTCAGGGGTCGAACTAACCACACTTATTTAAGAAATGATTGCCCTCCCCTACTGATGCTTCAGACTAAGTTTGGTTGAAATTGTCTCTGGCATTTAAGAGGAGATGCGTTTTAAAGCAAATTTAGCTAAGTTCCCCTTCAGGGCCCCGCCCCCCTGGCCTCAGGGGTCAGGGCAACCTCATATATTCAGGAAATGATTGCCCTCCCCCAATGAAGCTTCAGAGCAAATTTGGTTAAAATCGTCTCTGGGGTTAAGGAGGAGATGCGTTTTAAAGCAAATTTAGCTAAGTTCCCCTTCAGGGCCCCTGTCCCCCTGGCCTCAGGGATCGAACCAACCTCATTTATTTAAGAAATAATTGCCCTCCCCTAGTGATGCTTCAGGCTAAATGTGGTTGAAATCCTCTCCGGTGTTTAGGAGGAGATGCGTTTCAAAACAAATTTAGCTAAGTTCCCCGTCAGGGCCCTGCCCCCCCGGCCTCAGGGGTCGAACAAACCTCATTTATTTAAGTAATGATTGCCCTTCCCCACTGATGCTTCAGTCCAAATTTGGTTGAAATCCTCTTTGGCGTTTAGGAGGAGATAGGTTTTAAAGAAATAGTTGACGACGGACGCTGCGCCACTGTATAAGCTCACTATGGTCCTTCGGAGCAGGTGAGCTAATAACCTGTCATTACTATATTCTTGGTCTTGGTTTGAGTGGTTTTACGTCCGCCTCACTACTGACAAGTTTGGTTATCCAGCAGACTTATATTCTTGGTTGATTTCTGTATTTATATCACGCACCCAATAAATTCATCAATTTGTACTGTGGTAACCATTTTTCACAACGAGCAATTTTCATGTGCTGTATCTTATACTTTTCCATTCATGACTTTTCATTGAAGGAATTTTTACACCCTTGAGACCTTGAAGGTTCATCAAGGTCATATATTTGAGGAAACTTTACCTCAGGCAGCTACTGGTCAAGTATCATAACATTAAGTCTTTTAGTTCTTTAGAAGAATCTGTATAAAAAAGTTGATGGATGGACAGAGGGTGCTGCACCATACCATGAGCTCATTGGCACTTTAAGCAGATCTGGCAGAGCCTATCAATCAATAACAAGAAACTGCTAAATCATTCAGAAAGTTCTCCAGACAGCTTAGCGACTCCTAGAAGACTACCTCAGGGAAATTTCTTGACACATGAATGTGACTCTCCAAATGAGATATGGATAGTGAGAATGCCCTTATGAATTTGTATTGCACATTTGTCCACTATGACCTTGAAAGGACTTCAAGATCATATATTTAACAAAATTGGTAGCCCTGCACTACATCAACCTGGTGGAGTAGTATTGAGACTCTACACCTTGCCGATCTTCAGAAATCATTTTGAAAATTGATGTTAAACGCTAGATACTGACAGCCAGATGACTGACATCTGTCAAGCACAATATTAGATCATCGGCACTGCACACCTGTATATAGATTGCAACGTTATCTTAAGCATGTACACCTTTTTGTTTTAAAGTAAATTTTTCACCAGAGTTAAAATAACAGGAAACATAAGGCTTGAACTTACTTAGTGTGTACCCATATTCATCCTCCACTCCACTGTCCTCTTCCACAACCTCAACTGAAGGAGGGGGTGTTGATTGCTCACTGACCACGCCCACATCAATTGTCTGGGGAGATAAACAAACAGTAAGTACATGTCTAAAACGCAGCCCACATCAATTGTCAGGAGACGAAGACTACTTTAAGTACATGTAAACAACCTGCCCACTTTCGCTCTACAATGCCTGCCAGAATAAACACTTTTTTTTTCAAGTATACTAGTTAAGTATAGGATGAAGAAATGGAATGCTTATTCCAGAAAAGGGACAATAGGCATATAAGTTAAGGATTGGGCAATTATTAGGTGAAATAGGGTATGCAAAGGTACTGTGCGATACAGTACTTTACTTCAAAACAATGAAGTACTTTCAGATTAGTGCAAAAATTGCTTATTGCATGTAAGGAAAGAGTTTTCATAGGCTTAACTCATAATGAACTATTCCAACCTTTGAATTGGAAGAGTTCAAATGTGTCTTCAGGGGTAAATGAGATAAGCCTGTTGCCTAATTCCTGCTGTACAATAAAATCTTCTGAAATGAAAATGAAATGAAAATAAAAATTGTTAATATCTGATGATCGTATTGCACTCAGAATGTTGATGGTATATGATTCCTAATTCTTGTTAGCACTTGTTACTGCAAAATGGTAGTGACTAAAGCTGCATGGGAAGCCACAGGGTATATAACGGGGGAATAATGAGGAGGTCGGTGTATGGCTGTTACAGTCTAGGTTAGTTTAGAAATGACAGTCTACAACAGAGGAGAACCACTTAGACTGGTTACCTTGTTAATACTGTTACAAGTAACTCAATTCTATAGCATATTTATCACTGTAATCTCATTACGTCAGTTCATTTGTCTACATTCCAGTCCAATCAATTAACTTTCTCACACAGTCTGGGAGTCTACCAAAAAATCCAGGAAATCAATGGAAGAACCAAAAGCACTGAGAACACTGTCAATGTCAATACATTACAAAGGGATCCCCAGCGACCAGGTCTATCTAATCGAATTCAGTACACCGAGAAACAAGACAATGATCTCAAGTGACAAGATCTCTCTAATGGACAAAAAGCACTGGCACAAAATCAGGATCCAAAAGTTCACATCAATACCAGATCTCCAGTGTCCAAATAAACAGACAACAACAGTAGATCTCTGGTGAACACAAATCAAACAGAAACTCATGATCACTACTGACAGTGACACACCCTCTACTGACAGTGACACACCCTCCACAGACTCCAAATCTGGTCAGTAACACAGGATCTCTACTGACATTGACACACCCTCTACTGACTCCAAGTCTGGTCAGCAACACAGGATCCCTACTGACAGTGACACACCCTCCACAGACTCCAAATCTGGTCAGCAACACAGTATCACTACTGACAGTGACACACCCTCCACAGACTCCAAATCTGGTCAGTAACACAGGATCTCTACTGACATTGACACACCCTCTACAGACTCCAAATCTGTTCAGCAACACAGGATCTCTACTGAAAGTGACACACCCTCTACTGACAGTGACACCCCCGCTACTGACTCCAAATCTGTACAGCAACACAGGATCTCTTCTGACATTGACACACCCTCTACAGACTCCATATCTGGTCAGCAACACAGGATATCTACTGACAGTGACACACCCTCAGAAACTCATGATCACTACTGACAGTGACACACCCTCTCCTGACAGTGACCCACCCTCTACTGACTCCAAATCTGGGCAGCAACACAGGATCTCTACTGAAAGTGACACACCCTCTACTGACAGTGACACGCCCTCTACAGACTCCAAATCTGTTCAGCAACACAGGATCTCTACTGACACACACGACAGCAACACAGGATCTCTACTGAAAGTGACACACCCTCTACTGACAGGGACACACCCTCTACTGACAGTAACACACCCTCTACTGACTCCAAATCTGAACAGCAACACAGGATCTCTACTGACATTGACACACCCTCTACAGACTCCATATCTGGTCAGCAACACAGGATCTCTTCTGACATTGACACACCCTCTACTGACTCCAAGTCTGGTCAGCAACACAGGATCCCTACTGACATTGACACACCCTCTACTGACTCCATATCTGGTCAGCAACACAGGTCCTCTACTGACAGTGACACACCCTCCACAGACTCCAAATCTGGTCAGTAACACAGGATCTCTACTGACAAACACACACATCACTACTGACAGTGACACACCCTCAACTGGCTCCAAATCTGGTCAGCAACACAGGATATCTACTGACAGTGACACACCCGCTACTGACTCCAAATCTGTACAGCAACACAGGATCTCTTCTGACATTGACACACCCTCTACAGACTCCATATCTGGTCAGCAACACAGGTCCTCTACTGACAGTGACACACCCTCAACTGGCTCCAAATCTGGTCAGCAACACAGTATCACTACTGACAGTGACACACCCTCTCCTGACAGTGACCCACCCTCTACTGACTCCAAATCTGGACAGCAACACAGGATCTCTATTGACAGTGACACACCCTCTACAGATTCCATATCTGGTCAGCAACACAGGATCTCTACTGACAGTGACACACCCTCTACTAACTCCAAATCTGGACAGCATCACAGGATCTCTACTGACAGTGACACACCCTCTACTGACTCCAAATCTGGACAGCAACACAGGATCTCTACTGCCAGTGACACACCCTCTACTGACTCCAAATCTGGTCAGCAACACAGGATCTCTACTGACAGTGACCCCCCCTCTACTAACTCCAAATCTGGACAGCATCACAGGATCTCTACTGACAGTGACACACCCTCTACTGACTCCAAATCTGGACAGCAGCACAGGATCTCTACTGATAGTGACACCATCTCTACTGACTCCAAATCTGGACAGCAGCACAGGATCTTTACTGACACACACACACCCACACCCACACACACACACACACACACACACACACATCAACACAGAATCTCTACTCACACACACATCAACACAGGATCTCTACTGACACACATACACATCAACACAGGATCTCTACTGACAGTGACACACCCTCTACTGACTCCAAATCTGGACAGCAGCACAGGATCTCTACTGACAGTGACACCATCTCTACTGACTCCAAATCTGGACAGCAGCACAGGATCTTTACTGACACACACACACACACACCCACACACACACACACACACACACACACACACATCAACACAGAATCTCTACTGACACACACATCAACACAGGATCTCTACTGACACACATACACATAAACACAGGATCTCTACTGACACACATACACATAAACACAGGATCTCTACTGACACACACACACATCAACACAGGATCTCTACTAACACACACACACATCAACACAGTATCTCTAATGACACACACATCAACACAGGATCTCTACTGACAGTGACACACCCTCTACTGACTCCAAATCTGGACAGCAACACAGTATCTCTACTGACACACACACACACATCAACACAGGATCTCTACTAACACACACACACATCAACACAGGATCTCTAATGACACACACATCAACACAGGATCTCTACTGACACATACATCAATACAGGATCTCTACTGACACACACACATCAACACAGGATCTCTACTGACACACAAACACAGGATCTCTACTGACACACACATCAACACAGGATCTCTACTGACACACATAAACACAGGATCTCTACTGACACACACATCAATACAGTATCTCTACTGACACACACATCAACACAGAATCTCCACTGACACATACATCAACACAAAATCTCTACTGACACACACACATCAACACAGGATCTCTGCTGACACACATCAATACAGGATTTCTACTGACACATACATCAATACAGGATCTCTACTGACACACACATCAATACAGGATCTCTACTGACACACACATCAATACAGGATCTCTACTGACACATACATCAATACAGGATCTCTCCTGACACATACATCAAAACAGGATCTCTACTGACACACACACATCAATAAAGGATATCTGCTGACACACACATCAATACAGGATCTCTACTGACACATACATCAATACAGGATCTCTACTGACACATACATCAATACAGGATCTCTACTAACACATACATACAATCAACACAGGATATCTACTCACATACACACATCAACACATGATCTCTACTGACACACACCAACACATGATCTCTACAGACACACATATCAACTCTACTGACACACACACACACACATCAACACAGGATCTCTACTGACAAACACACACATCAACACAGCATCTCTACTCACACACTTCAACACATGATCTCTAATGACACACACATCAATACAGGATCTCTACTGACACATACATCAATACAGGATCTCTAATGACACATACATCAATACAGGATCTCTACTGACACACACATCAATACAGGATCTCTACTGACACACTTACACATCAATACAGGATCTCTACTGACACACTTATACATCAATACAGGATCTCTACTGACACACATACACATCAATACATGATCTCTACTGACACACACATCAATACAGTATCTCTACTGACACATACATCAATACAGGATCTCTACTGACACACTTATACATCAATACAGGATCTCTACTGACACACATACACATCAATACAGGATCTCTACTGACACATACATCAATACAGGATCTCTACTGACACATATATACGATCACAAGATCTATCATGATTTATATTGATGTTTTTAAAGTAATGTGTCCTACCTGTTGTGGTAGAGAGAAAGCCTCTTCATATGACTGTACTGACTTAGTATCAATTTCCAAGTCCGTTGGCTGTCAAAGATAACAAACAAAAACGATAATTAGCAACTGGATTTTGTATCCAAATATTGTCTTAAATATTCACATGTAAGTTGTTGACATCTCATAAGGAATATTGTTTATTGTTCATCATTTATATTTTTTTTCATCAATGTTTTTTTATAGTTCTATAAATATTTTATTGTTTGCCAATGTTTTTATCAATGCTTATTATTTTCAAACATTTTTTGTTTTCTTATCAAGATTTTCTTTTGTTTCTTAATGTATCACTGAATTCTACACAAGTCCAGTTTGGATATATTGTGAAATGCAGTCCAAAGGTCAATGACCAAGGCATCACAATTGTAGACAAATTAGTATTCTAATTATACTGTAGGTTAGGTATATTGTGCAAGAGAATTGTTTCAAGGTAATTTGCAAGAAACTCGGGGTTGACAAATTTGGTGTCGTACAGTTAACGTTGTAAGGATTTTATTTATCGAGTTTTCGCATTTAAAACACTTAGTGAGCAGAGTCTTACATAGATTTACATGCCCAACCATTAACTCTTGGCCGATGACCACCAAATCTAATCAGGTGTAAAACTCCTACAATGTTACCGTGGTACTATGGTGTGAATATACCAGGTATGATAACGTTGGTGAGGGATCAGGTGTAAAACTCCTACAATGTTACCGTGGTACTATGGTGTGACTATACCAGGTATGATAACGTTGGTGAGGGATCAGGTGTAAAACTCCTACAATGTTACCGTGGTACTATGGTGTGACTATACCAGGTATGATAACGTTGGTGAGGGATCAGGTGTAAAACTCCTACAATGTTACCGTGGTACTATGGTGTGACTATACCAGGTATGATAACGTTGGTGAGGGATCAGGTGTAAAACTCCTACAATGTTACCGTGGTACTATGGTGTGACTATACCAGGTATGATAACGTTGGTGAGGGATCAGGTGTAAAACTCCTACAATGTTACCGTGGTACTATGGTGTGACTATACCAGGTATGATAACGTTGGTGAGGGATCAGGTGTAAAACTCCTACAATGTTACCGTGGTACTATGGTGTGACTATACCAGGTATGATAACGTTGGTGAGGGATCAGGTGTAAAACTCCTACAATGTTACCGTGGTACTATGGTGTGACTATACCAGGTATGATAACGTTGGTGAGGGATCAGGTGTAAAACTCCTACAATGTTACCGTGGTACTATGGTGTGACTATACCAGGTATGATAACGTTGGTGAGGGATCAGGTGTAAAACTCCTACAATGTTACCGTGGTACTATGGTGTGACTATACCAGGTATGATAACGTTGGTGAGGGATCAGGTGTAAAACTCCTACAATGTTACCGTGGTACTATGGTGTGACTATACCAGGTATGATAACGTTGGTGAGGGATCAGGTGTAAAACTCCTACAATGTTACCGTGGTACTATGGTGTGAATATACCAGGTATGATAACGTTGGTGAGGGATCAGGTGTAAAACTCCTACAATGTTACCGTGGTACTATGGTGTGACTATACCAGGTAAAACGTTGGGGAGGGATCAGGTGTAAAAATCCTACAATGTTACTGTGGTACTATGGTGTGAATATACCAGGTATGATAACGTTGGAGAGGGATCAGGTGTAAAACTCCTACAATATTACAGTGGTACTATGGTGTGACTATACCAGGCATGATAACGTTGGTGAGGGATCAGATGTAAAACCCCTGCAATGTTACCGTGGTACTACTCCTACAATGTTACCGTGGTACCATGGTGTGACTATACCAGGTATGATCACGTTGGTGAGGGATCAGGTGTAAACCCCCTGCAATGTTACCGTGGTACTAGGGTGTGACTATACCAGGTATGATAACGCTGGTGAGGGATCAGGTGTAAAACTCATACAATGTTACCATGGTACTATGGTGTGACTATACCACGTATAATAACGTTGGTGAGGGGTCAGGTGTAAAACTCATACAATGTTACCATGGTACTATGGTGTGACTATACCACGTATAATAACGTTGGTGAGGGGTCAGGTGTAAAACTCATACAATGTTACCATGGTACTATGGTGTGACTATACCTGGTATGATAACGTTGGTGAGGGATCAGATGTAAAACCCCTGCAATGTTACCGTGGTACTACTCCTACAATGTTACCGTGGTACCATGGTGTGACTATACCAGGTATGTTAACGTTGGTGAGGGATCAGGTGTCAAACTCCTACAATGTTACCGTGGTAATATGGTGTGACTATACCAGGTATGATAACGTTGGTGAGGGATCAGGTGTAAAACCCCTGCAATGTTACCGTGGTACTATGGTGTGACTATACCAGGTATGATAACGCTGGTGAGGGATCAGGTGTAAAACTCCTACAATGTAACCGTGGTACTATGGTGTGACTATACAAGGTATGATAACGTTGGTGAGGGATCAGGTGTAAGACTCCTACAATGTTACCGTGGTACTATGGTGTTACTATACCAGGTATGATAACGTTGGTGAGGGATCAAGTGTAAAACTCCTACAATGTTACCGTGGTACTATGGTGTGACTATACCTGGTATGATAACGTTGGTGAGGGATCAGGTGTAAAACTCCTACAATGTTACCGTGGTACTATGGTGTGACTATACAAGGTATGATAACGTTGGTGAGGGATCAGGTGTAAAACCCCTGCAATGTTACCATGGTACTATGGTGTGACTATACCAGGTATGATAACGCTGGTGAGGGATCAGGTGTAAAACTCCTCCAATGTTCCCGTGGTACTATGGTGTGACTTTACCAGATATGATAAGTTGGGGAGGGATCAGGTGTAAAACTCCTACAATGTTACCGTGGTACTATGGGGTGACTATACAAGGTATGATAACGTTGGTGAGGGATCAGGTGTAAAACCCCTGCAATGTTACCATGGTACTATGGGGATCAGGTGTAAAACTCCTACAATGTTACCGTGGTACTATGGTGTGACTTTACCAGATATGATATGTTGGGGAGGGATCAGGTGTAAAACTCCTACAATGTTACCATGGTACTATGGTGTGACTATACCATGTATGATAACGTTGGGGAGGGATCAGGGGTAAAACTCCTACAATGTTACCATGGTACTATGGTGTGACTATACCAGGTATGATAACGTTGGGGAGGGATCAGGAAATATCTTGTACACAAGCTTTTTACTTCGAAAGTGGTAAAATATCATGTTTGATCTTGACCTTTGACCCTTTAACCTTGACTGATGAGATGACCACCAAGCTTTAGTCAGGTGTGACAACTTGACACTACCATACTATGATGTAAATATAACATAGAATATGTTTGGGGTTCATAAGATATCCTGTACAAAAGCTTAAGCTTCACTTAATAGACACGGGCATGCACGCACACATGGGCGGACGCACACATGGGCGGACACACTGACAAAGCGATTATTAAATGCCTCCCCTCACTTAGAAATATCAAACATAACTTGTTGCATTAAGTATTCTTGCTGTAAATGTGGAATATTTAGCGGGCTAATTTATGTATAAAATGCCAGGTTATATCGTCCACATAAATCTTCATCGCTTATGGGTCCGTTGATGTCTTATTTATTGAATAGACATGTATACTGCATACATGTATGTGTGTGTGTACATGTGATGACTTCTTGTTAAATGGTTTCTTCAGTGTATTTTGTACATTGTCAAGCATTGGTATTAAGAAATGACTATACAAAGGAAATGGACATCCTGAATAGTTTAATATTTACTGTACACCAAACTTAGGTACAGAGGAAGTCCTTAATGCATTAATCCTGAGTGCATTAAGTGAAAGGAACACGGGACACACAAGGGCCCGATACAATGTACACTATACATATGTACGAAGCAAGCGTTGTCCACTTTCGACGTCAGCCAGTGTACCTAGAACACTGTTGGTAGTAATTATGCCACCATGCAGCTTTTCTTAGATTTGTAATAAAATTAAACTGTTTCTTTGAAATACTTAAAGATTCAATCTGACATTCCTCCATAATTGCACGACCTAAATAAAACTGTTTCTTTGTGCACACAGACATATGGACACATATATACACATGAATACATTAAAGCTATAATTTGTATCTATCAGAGGCCCAGTCGTTAAGCATATGAAACATGTACTCAACACCTACTGGTAATATCCTGATCAGGTACGTTATACTGTGTAACATAGGGTAGATAACTCTTCCACTTCGACAGCGATAATTTCCCCTTCACATATTGTTTTGATCTCCAGATGCTGTAAATTCCACCCATTGTAAATAAACATGTCTTCAGTATGTGCACTAACACGAAATGTGTTAAAACATTATCGAATCCTAAAGGAATCAGGGTTTTATTTGTAGCCAGTAGCCGGTAAAAATACCCTCCTACTACAGATATTTCTCCCGCTACTTTCATGAAGAAAAAAAAGGGTAATGGGGTATTACTAAACATCCTGAAATTGACTTCCTCAGCTACATTGTAACGAAAACATGCCACTTGATATCTTATTGAAAGCCCCTGAAAAATATTGTAAAATTGATACGTCTTGATTATTAATTTGAATACACATAAACATTATAATAACATGGAATCAACATTTCCTTCATTTCAGAAATATGTGTTCCACCATTTTTTGTTTACAGTAAAGACTGAACCTAGACACACTATATGGATGGCCCTTCACCCATAAATCCTCCCAGTCAGATATTGGCCCTCCACCCATAAATCCTCCCAGTCAGATATTGGCCCTCCACCTGTAAATCAATGTCCATCAAGTGTTAACTTCACCCTTGACATGTAATTACTATGTGTGGTATGCTGTTTACTTATATTGGCTGTTGTAATGAATTCACTCTCATTGCAGAAGGTGAAAAAGGTTGAAGTTGAACTACTGCAAAAAATTCCTGCTATACAGTATAAATATTTGCAGAGTTTGTTTGACCATATATCATCCCTTCCAATTTAACAGATTGATACCTGATGATTTTGGACCAACCTAAGATTCATAAAATACCACCTTTATCCTTGAATCTGGATCCCTTGAGTTTGGTTCACCAGGTTTACTGACTGTGGTGGAACATGTACACCTGGCATCCTTATTAAAGGTTTTGAGGAACTTACACATATTTGGTCAGTGAGGCTCTGGACGAGGAACTTACACATATTTGGTCAGTGAGGCTCTGGACGAGGAACTTGACTGGTGTTGATGCATGCCTGATTATCTCTACGGCCTGGTCATGTGATGCATTTCGAAGATCCTTACCATCAACCTACAGAAAAAATGTTGTTTTATTATTTTTTAAGGAATAGGACATCCAAGTGTTTTTAAAGTTCATTGTGCTACAAACTACGAAAGTTTCTCGTAGAAATCATGTTTATACAGTCATGGAAGGTTTTAGTCCATACAGTATCATCATTATTTGTTTCTTTCTTTTGGGTTTTTGGTCAGATTATTCTAAGAACATGTTAACCATAGGTGTCTGAAGGGACAATGACAAAAAGGAAAGAGGAGATAAGGGAGAAAAGAACGGGAAATATTACATGTACTGTATTACAATGGAGGCAGCAGATCAATATTATGGTTTCTTTCCAAATAAAAGATACAGGAATTCCCAATTTGTCAGGGGACCCTGCATTAGATGCCTCAAACCATCATGAAGTGGAGAAGAACAAGTCTATGCTTTCTCCATCACACGTAACCATGACAACATTTGCATCAGACACCTTTATTTTACTTGTGACAATAGTCCTATGCATTGTCTACAACAAAGAGAGATGTTCCACTTTATCGGACACCTGTCACCGTACCTCCAGGATTCGGTCTCCGGTTTTGAGGGTGCCATTTTTTCCAGCAGGACTGTCATCTAATACATGTTTGATAAAAATTCCTGAGATTGTGTTTTCCTGCTGGACATGAAACAGATCCACTCTTCCTCCTGAAAAAAGACCAAATTGTACATGTATATAAACTTATTCATACAAAATTACATATGGATATCAACCAATTCTTTATTTTATTTTAATATACTGTATTGTTCACGGTTGATTTGTTCATTGTTTGAAGCTATTAAGATATTTTTGTTTTACAAACTTTTATAAATACTCCATAAAAACAAATAGTATTCAATGACTATATACACCACTTTGGATGTATTCAGGTTTGTGGTTCCATAGCAAATAGCAAATTGTCGATGTCATACTATTAACTAAATCATATATTCATATAAAGTGCTTCATTACAACATTTCATCAGATGTTAGCCAGACAAAAGTAAATCATAATATAGACAATTCAATTCTAGTGTCTTCCTTTTTTTTCAGAAAGCGTATCGCAAAATATTGTACTGACAATACTACTGACAGGCCTCAAGGTCAAGATCATCACCTACCCACTATACTGATGATGTCAGGACCTTTTAGTTAATAGTTAGTCCACTACTGGGTGTCAATGTCCAGGTAATAACTTACCCACTATACTGATGCCCAGCCCCCTATTGGGTTCCCGTGCTAGTTCCACCATGCGCTGTGGCCCCCATGTCTGGTTGCCGGTGGCTGGGGTCCCATCAGCGGCTAGAGATTTCTGTCTGGGCGACACCGGAGCAGGCTCTAGTGAGGCGTGGGTGGTACTGCTTGTGGTGGCCTCCACTGTGAGGGCGCCCACACCTGATATGTTTGTAGTGGTGGTGGTGACGGCCAATGTTGAAGTGATGGTAGGACTTACGGTACTTGTTTCTGCTACAGACATACTAGCCAGCGGTGATAAATTTGCTCTGAAAACATAATTATATTTCTTATAATTCTGCATGATAAAAATCAAAGGAAGGTATCTGTGACTTTTTGTTTGTAATTATCTTTTTGAATGTAACATATTTTCAAATCGCAGGAGCTGAAAAGCAAATAATAACAATCTTGCAATAACGATAACGACACCATAACTGCAGCATGATCCTGTAAGTCACTAGATTTTCATGTGTATTTTATTTAATGAAAAAGTTTCTGGTTGGTTATATTCATAAATACTTGAATTGATGATTGAGAGTAGAGTATTTCAACAATGATGGTACAATTATCAACGGGTTCATATTTGCAGAAGGTTTAAATCTGTGAATTATCAGTTTCCTTGCAAATTGCAGCAAAAATTATCATATTAAACAGTATAACAGATTATATCTCTAGAACCTACGGAGATATTAAAACCCTATGTTGTATTTTCATTTGTCAAATATCACCAGATCTTGATTGGGTTTCAAATGGATAGACACATTCACAATACGTTATAAACAGATAATTGGTTACAGTCAAAAACTCAACCACTTCAATGCAGTTATGATGGCTATACTGGCACCATTATATAATGAACAGTGCATTCATCTGAATTTTAGTTGTTAGAGAGAAAAGTGATAACAAATGTTTGACATTAACAGATATACAGTGCACTGTTTAATTATAATCAATATACAACAGTAAGACTGTAAAGCATGTAAATTTATGTCATATTTTAAGAAATTTACTCATTCCTTGTCATAACTTGACTAGGTCAGTGAAGGTACTTTTTCAAAAGCTGTTTGCTTTATTGTTTTACACCAAGTCAATGTGTAAATATATTTCAGTCCCACCACAGCTAGGTCAATGCTGTCTTAAGTTTGAGCAAGTGATCTAAACTTGGGAAATTTGCAACATTACATGAGATTATAAAGAGTTCATTTAAGGATCATCTTGAATATATTCGCGGTTTATGATGAGAGTACACTCCGTTTTTTTGTGTTATACATGTAGCTCCATAACATCAAAAATATATTCAAGTTAATCCTTAAAATTTAATCTACTATACACAATTCCCTGTGGAAATCCACTTTTATTGATGGACATTTTTCCTTAGAAATTATTGCGCTACTGTATCAGCCAATCAAAAGCAACATTATAAACGGCGACGTAATTTTTTTACGTTATGGGCTACTAACATACATTTTTAAGCCAATGAAAATGCTTGTTACAAGCAAGATTCAATTATGTGAAAATAATATGATATAAAACAAACCAAAATTACACACACAATATATAAAGAGAAAAATTGTGTTTAAGGAAAACATGGTTTTAACCAAAATGTGATATTAAGTGGAATTAATTGTATTTCTTTTTTAACTTGGCACAAGATTCTTGATGGTAAGAGGATGATGTATGTAAAACACATGGTTATAATGTTTTTAAGGAAAATTGATGAACAAACACCAGGTAGCTAGTTTAAGCATCTTGAGACAGTAAAAATAAAGACATATGCATCCAAAATCTTATCAGGTCTGAAAACAAAATCAAATCACAAGAGTAGACAGAGAAGTAGAGGAATGAGAAGCACACTCAGAGTACAAACAGGTGTGAACAGGTGTGTACAGGTGTGAACAGGTATGGCAGACAGCACCAATCAGAGAACATCACAACAGGCAGAAAACAGCTGTAAAACAAACACTCAAGTTTTCTTACCGATAATGTTTTGGAAATATCCTTTATGCAGCATGCAAGAAAGATACTTTGTTGATTTTTTGTTTTACAAAATATGATTATATAGCAACTGAAATTCCTTTGAATAAAATAGTTGCTAGTAAAGTGGACTCCATTCCCATAGCCTGGGTGTGTTATGAAAGGCATGATTTGCCAGATTTGTTACACAAAGGAATACATAAAAAAATTAGAAAATTCTGGAGAACAAAATCCTTTACTAAATTGTTCTTCAAGTAATCTTGTGACCTGGACCTTGGACATTTTAACATCCAAATTTATCTAGTTCTTTCTAGTGGTTTTGTGTAAATAGATTTCTGAATATCACATATTTAATTTTACGTGATGCCTGAAAAACATAGAGTCCTTGTGACTTTTGACCTCATAATTATTAGTCTTTCATGTTATTATGTGTTGCTGATGTTATAAAGCAATGTTCTTTTATTATTTACAGACAAGCATACATTTCAAAAGCTTTCAGTCATCAAATGACCGTGTGACATTGACCTTCAGCATATGCAGCCTCTATGTGAACCATTGGACTTGGTGAGCTATCCAGAATAGCCTAGTGAGAAGGAGGCTGGACCAGTATACTAAACACCCTGAGATTCAGTACTGTACAACATCACTATATATAATAGGTGTGAACAATGTTTTATATTTACCAGAGGATTTCTCAGTTTAAGAGACAAAGTTTTTTGCTATAAATGGCTTTTGATTGTTCTACTAAGAAATGTCAGATTTAAGGCACAAAACCATTTATATTCCCAATCTACATGATTCTAAATATGACATGTATCCATTAATGTCATTTAATTAATTGTGAGTTTGAAAGTGTGTATCTTCAAAATTTCATATTGTATGGTGTGGGTGGGGCTCTGTGGAGGGGGCTGACACTAACTTTGGAGAAGGCATCATAGAGTAGTGGTTGGGGCTCTGCGGAGGGGGCTGAAACTTACTTTGGAGAAGACATCATGGAGAAGTAGGTGGGGCTCTGTGGAGGGGGCTGACACTTACTTTGGAGAAGGCATCATGGAGTAGTGGGTGGGGCTCTGTGGAGGGGGCTGACACTTACTTTGGAGAAGGCATCATAGAGTAGTGGTTGGGGCTCTGTGGACGGGGCCGACACTTACTTTGGAGAGGCATCACAGAGTAGTGGGTGGGGCTCTGTGGAGGGGGCTGACACTTACTTTGGAGAAGGCATCATGGAGTAGTGGGTGGGGCTCTGTGGAGGGGGCTGACACTTACTTTGGAGAAGGCATCATGGAGTAGTGGGTGGGGCTCTGTGGAGGGGGCTGACACTTACTTTGGAGAAGGCATCATGGAGTAGTGGGTGGGGCTCTGTGGAGGGGGCTGACACTTACTTTGGAGAAGGCATCATGGAGTAGTGGGTGGGGCTCTGTGGAGGGGGCTGACACTTACTTTGGAGAAGGCATCATGGAGTAGTGGGTGGGGCTCTGTGGAGGGGGCTGACACTTACTTTGGAGAAGGCATCATGGAGTAGTGGGTGGGGCTCTGTGGAGGGGGCTGACACTTACTTTGGAGAAGGCATCATGGAGTAGTGGGTGGGGCTCTGTGGAGGGGGCTGACACTTACTTTGGAGAAGGCATCATGGAGTAGTGGGTGGGNATTTTGGCTGTTGAATGCTTCATAATTTATTCAGACAAAATCTGTGTATTATCAGTGAATATAGAATACCAGTTGGTCTTTATGACAACTTAGTGTGTGATGTAAGGGCAGGTAAACATTAACTCTCGCCAGTGGGACAACTCAAATCAATATCTGCTATACGGACTTAAATGTTATTTACATGTAAAGTAAGTAACAGATTCTATTCCAGATTGCTGTATGATGTCTACCCATGTGATAGTCCCCGAGAGCCAGTTTGTACTCAACAACCCAGGGTCTATCTGATTCTTGTCAATGCTCGCAGACACAACACAGGCACCTATCACCAATCTAAGTTGTGCAGAAACATGACTACAATTATTTCACATAAAAAAAAATTGCCCGTAGTGATGAAAAATAAACAAGAGGCACAGAGGGCCTGTATCACTCACCTGGACATTTAAGCAGTCATATCAAAATATTCTCATTAAATTTTATAATGTACTACAAATATTACCAAATATTGACTCTGTTTCTCAGCAACACCCTTACATTATTCTCTATATCAAATAAGGTTTAGATAAAGCTATAGGGTAAAAATCCTTACATATGACTCTTGGTTATTCAAAACAATATGTTACAAGATTTTAACACATTTTTCCACAGTGACCTTGAAAGTCTATCCGAGTCATTCAGTTGAAAAAACTTGGAAGTCCTTAATCCCAGATATCATCACTCTGTGGTTCTTAGTTATTAAAAAGAGTCATTTAAATATGTTAATAAATTTGATCCCTGTAACCTTGAAAGTAATTTGTGTGAGATAATTTTCAATCACAAACTTTGTCGGGCTCCATCCATGGAAGCTACCAGCCAAACATAATTATAGGATTTTATGCCTTTTGGTTCGAAATGTTTGACATATTTGACCTCTGTGACCTAGAAAGTAGGTTGAGGTGATTTTCATTCTCAAACTTTAATAGGCTCTATCCCAAGAAGCTACCAGCCAAATATAATGATTATTTATGCCTTTCGATTATTTATCAGAAGTTGTTTGACTCATTTGACCCCCGTGACCTTGAAAGTAAGTTGATGTCATTTTCATTTGCAAACTTTGTCAGGCTCCATAGCTAAACAGCCAAACATTCATATTCTATACCATGGGATTATTTAGAAGTCGTTTGATGTGTTTGACATAATTGACCACTGTGACCTTGAAAGTAGGTTGAAGTCATTTTCATTTGCAAACTTTGTTGTGCTCATTCTAAGGAAGCTACCGGCCAAATATTAAGATTATATCCATTTCAATTCTTCAGAAGAATTTTTTTGAAGTGTTTGACACATTGGACTCCTGTGACCTTGAAAATAGGTCAAGGTCATTTTCTTTCTCAAACTTAGTGGGGTTCTTACCAACGAAGCTTTCAGACAATTATCATGACTCTAGGCCTGTCCATTCTTTAGAAGAAGTCGTTTAAAGGAAAATTTGATGGATGACGATAGATGGATGACAGACGCCGCACCATGACATAGGTCCAATAGCCCTTTGGGCAGGTAAGCTATTAAGAAGTTTTAGAGGGGTGGTGTTAACACAGTGAAAGAGGTGTAAAGGATTCCAAACTGAAAGCTAGAATTGACACATCTGTCTGGAAACAACAGTGATTGCTGTAAAAGACAAAGAGGCCATATGAGTAGGTGGATAAGGGGAATTGACCAATGAGAACCTTCAACAGATTAACATTATACCAGGAATAAAGGACACCTAAAATGTATGTGGTGAGACCTGGCATGAGATGCACAAAAAGTGGGCACAGAAAATGAAGTCATGTAGAGGAAAGGGCCTATCTGACCATCCTACAAAGGCAAGGATTTACCTCAAGATCAATTACAGAGGATGTTTGCCCCTATTTCACCTTTGACCTTAGATAAAGGTCACAGTGACTAAATTAAAGTGCACTGCAAACCTACTGTGTGTGATGCAGGTATATTTCAAGTTTCGTCAATATCTCAGTTCTACAGTTTAAAAATTATGAATATCTCTTCTACAGTTTAAAAATTATGAATATCTCTTCTACAGTTTAACAAGAGGCCCATGGGCCTTAACGGTCACCTGAGTCCTACAATATTTATTTTTGTTGTTGAAATATGTACCAATTTGAGTAAAAAATAGTATAATGTTAACTTAACTTTGTCAGGACCATGAGCTGATCATTCCTAGACCAATTTTAAGTGAGATCGGCCTATTAGAACTTAGTAGCAAAATAGCGGCCATGGCAGCCAAATTGTATTTCTGATTGACCCGAAAAATAACAACACTTTGTCAGGACCATGAGGCGATCATTCCTACCAACTTTCAGTTCAATCGGTCCAGCAGAACTTGACTTTAAGTTTGAAATAGGTTTTCAAAATGGCGGCCGTGGCGGCCATATTGGATTTCTGATCGACCCGAAAAATAACAACACTTTGTCAGGACCATGAGGCGATCATTCCTACCAACTTTCAGTTCAATCGGTCCAGCAGAACTTGACTTTAAGTTTGAAATAGGTTTTCAAAATGGCGGCCGTGGCGGCCATATTGGATTTCTGATCGACCCGAAAAATAACAACACTTTGTCAGGACCATGAGGCGATCATTCCTACCAACTTTCAGTTCAATCGGTCCAGCAGAACTTGACTTTAAGTTTGAAATAGGTTTTCAAAATGGCGGCCGTGGCGGCCATATTGGATTTCTGATCGACCCGAAAAATAACAACACTTTGTCAGGACCATGAGGCGATCATTCCTACCAACTTTCAGTTCAATCGGTCCAGCAGAACTTGACTTTAAGTTTGAAATAGGTTTTCAAAATGGCGGCCGTGGCGGCCATATTGGATTTCTGATCGACCCGAAAAATAACAACACTTTGTCAGGACCATGAGGCGATCATTCCTACCAACTTTCAGTTCAATCGGTCCAGCAGAACTTGACTTTAAGTTTGAAATAGGTTTTCAAAATGGCGGCCGTGGCGGCCATATTGGATTTCTGATCGACCCGAAAAATAACAACACTTTGTCAGGACCATGAGGCGATCATTCCTACCAACTTTCAGTTCAATCGGTCCAGCAGAACTTGACTTTAAGTTTGAAATAGGTTTTCAAAATGGCGGCCGTGGCGGCCATATTGGATTTCTGATCGACCCGAAAAATAACAACACTTTGTCAGGACCATGAGGCGATCATTCCTACCAACTTTCAGTTCAATCGGCCCAGCAGAACTTGACTTTAAGTTTGAAATGTAAAATGTTAACGGACGACGGACGACGGACGACGACGGACGAAAACGGATAGCAATAGGTCACTTGAGCTAAAGCTCAGGTGACCTAAAAATTATGAATACTTCTTCTACAGTTTAAAAATTATGAATACCTCTTCTACAGTTAAAAAAATATGAATATCTCTTCTACAGTTTAAAAATTATGAATATCTCTTCTACAGTTTAAAAATTATGGCCCAAAAATATCATTTTAGAAGAGGATATGATTCACCAGGAGAAGAACTAGAAGATCCAGTGTTAAACACAATATAGCGTCTCCTTCACTCAATGGGGTAATAATTAACATAACAAACTTCCTTTAAACATAATATAGCGTCTCCTTCATTCCAAGGGGGTAATAATTAACATAACAAACTTCCACAAACTTCCTTTAAACACAATATAGCGTCTCCTTCATTCCAAGGGAGTAATAATTAACATAACAAACTTCCTTTAAACATAATATAGCGTCTCCTTCATTCCAAGGGGGTAATAATTAACATAACAACCTTCCTTTAAACACAATATAACGTCCCCTTCATTCCAAGGGTGTAATAATTAACATAACAACCTTCCTTTAAACACAATATAACGTCCCCTTCATTCCAAGGGTGTAATAATTAACATAACAACCTTCCTTTAAACACAATATAACGTCCCCTTCATTCCAAGGGTGTAATAATTAACATAACAAACTTCCTTTAAACATAATATAGCGTCTCCTTCATTCCAAGGGGGTAATAATTAACATAACAACCTTCCTTTAAACACAATATAACGTCCCCTTCATTCCAAGGGTGTAATAATTAACATAACAGACTTCCTTTAAACACAATATAACGTCTCTTTCATTGCAAGGGCGTAATAATTAACATAACAAACTTCTTTTAAACACAATATAACGTCTCCTTCAATCCAATGGCGTAATAATTAACATAACAAACTTCCTTTAAACATAATATAGCGTCTCCTTCATTCCAAGGGGATAATAATTAACATAACAAACTTCCTTTAAACACAATATCGCGTCTCCTTCATTCCAAGGGTGTAATAATTAACATAACAAACTTCCTTTAAACATAATATAGCGTCTCCTTCATTCCAAGGGGGTAATAATTAACATAACAACCTTCCTTTAAACACAATATAACGTCCCCTTCATTCCAAGGGTGTAATAATTAACATAA